CCTCATTCTTTTTAATGGCTGCTTATATTCCATACTATGCATTTTATCAAATAACATGTTTAAAAGTACCACAGTGCTTTTTGACTCTGTTGATTGATGAAAATTTACCAAACCCTCTATCTTTTCTCTTGCTTTCCCCAACAGTGTGTTGGGGGCATGGCAAGGAAGGAAAAGGATATGTCATTATTCATGTGAAGTGTGTCCTAGCAGCCCTGAGCAGGTTGGTCATCCTCTTCTTGCAGGCTTATTTCTGCTTAAATAAGTCATCCTTGCTGTTCTGTGGTTCCATGGCATCTCTGTGGATTTGCTTCATTGTTAGTCTATTTTGATGGCTTCCCATGTGTTTGAAATGGTTGCATATTTCTCTCCACTAACAGACCATTGCCTTCTCATCTTCTCTTGTACCCCTGGCCTTTTGAGATGATTGGACCTGACATTTAGAGATGTGTTTATTGCTGTCCCATGAGGTCATTCAAGCATTGGAGGGCTGTTTGTATTTTGGTGTCTGTGGGAGCAGAACATTCATTTATGGTAGTACCTTTGAGACAGCGTGTTCATGGGTTCTTTTCTGTTTATAGACAGTCTCTTGTCCAGTGTTCTTTTATGTACCTTGGGGGTGACAGAGAGTGGCACTGCAGCATTTCTTCCTGTATATAGGCAAAAAGCTGAGGCATTTACATGCTATTGACAGTGGCCAGTTGAGTTGTTTAACCATTTGTAATAAATTTGATCATGACAGGCAGTATTAATCTTAACTGATTGACCTTTCCTTTCACAAATAGAAATGGAGACATTTCTGTTTGTTTTTGCAAAGTGGCAAGCATTTTCAACAGTTACAAGTAACCCTATGTCACGTTGTTTTCTAGCCAAAAATAGTTTTATTTATAAGGATTAGCTGAACATAGTTTTATTTGTAAGGATTCGCTGAACAGTCATTCACCTAGATTGAGGACTGTCTTAACTGCTAGGGTTTTATCAGCACAGGTCAATTCCCATTAGGGCTTGTGCCATGTTAACGAGTGACATATTTATTGATTGCAGACTCAGTTCATTGGAGTTGGTGATGAAAGGGGAGTATTTTGTTCTCACTCATTCCCATTGGTGAATCAGCTTCTTCTTGTTCTTAGATCTAACTTGACAAAATAATTTAATCTTTAACGATAGCAGATACTATGAGAGACTTTAATCAGAATTTAAGCTGTCATCTGGTACCTTGTAATGCAACACGCACAAAGCCACCTGCAGCACTGTGATCAAAAAATTCCCAAGAAGAAACAGTGTAGTCGAGTGTGGCCATGGTATGCAAGAGCTACACAGTTATAGATTCTTTCATTTCTGCTTCAGTAAAGTCTTGATGATTATTTTCCTTTTACAGAATAATAAACTCATCCATCAGATTAGGATGCAAAGTCTGTCGGAGTCCAGATATTCCTGAGAAGAAAGCTGTGCTGTTAGTTATTATTTTCACATGCACCTTTTCACATTTGCAGCTCTCCTGGTTATAATCAATAGAAGTTTATTAGTGTAACATTAAGTACTGTGCCCTGTGGTGGAATGAAGAATAGTTGATGGCTTGGTCTGTGACCAAGTACCTGGAAATGCTTAGAAGAAAACATGAGCTCCTGCCTTCATGAACTTTTGAAAGTCAGCGTATAAGCCATGCTTGGAGAAAATATGGCTCTTTTATTTATTTATTTTTTTATTAGGATTTCGGTGAAGATTTACAGAGTAAATTCACTTTTCATACAGCAGTTCACATATACTTTGTCTCATGTCATT